GGGCAGATGGAAAAACTAGAAAGTCCCACCACAACAGAAGAGATTTTGAAAAGGAATAATCTTGTGGAGGAATTCTGGATGAAGAGTGCTGAAATCCGTAGGAGTTTAGGCCTCACTCCTGTCAACAGAAGCAGGGGATCAGACCCAAACTTTACCTACTCACCCCTAGAATCTGTTCCTCTTAAACTATTTAATTCTGATGTGGGGTCAGAAGAAAAGGGAATCCATCCTGTCAAACCATCAAAGGTAATCATGCCAAAGTTGGATAAGGAACAATTTTCTTTGCTGACACCAACCTCCCAATCAGAGAAAGAGTTGAAAAACTCAAAGGATGTGAAAAGAGATCTCTCCAGCAGTTCTGGACTGGGACTTCAGGGTAGTTCATCCAACATGAGGACACTGGCCAGCCAAAGTTTCAACACATCGGATTCCACCATGCTCACCCCTCCGTCTAGCCCTCCTCCACCACCACCTCAAAACGAAGAACCAGCAACGTTGCGAAGAAAAAGGCACCAGGCGATTTGGCAGAATGAAGCAGAGTCCATACAGACACCTCAGATGGCACCAGCCAATGAAAGGATCCGACCCACCAGAAGTTCCTCTCACCCACCCAGAGAGGAGGTAAGGAAGTCATTTGTTGAGAGTGTGGATGAAATACCATTTGCTGATGACGTAGAGGACACTTACGATGACAGAACAGAGGATACCAGCCTTAATGACAAATACTACACTCCACCTAGCAAGCCAAGGCCTGAGAAGCCTCTCCAACTGCATGTGGTTAAGGAAAGTGATAGGTCATCGTCCACTGAAGGAGGAAAGAGAGGCCTTCCTCAGGTCTCTGCTGAAGCTAAGGAGTTAGCTGAGGAAAGGATGAGGGCCAGGGAGAAGTCTATCAAAAGCCAGGCCTTACGGGATGCTATGGCTAAGCAGCTCAGCAGGATGAAAGATCTGGAGATGACCAGCAGTGCTCTAGCTGCAAAATCGCGCAAAGCATCTACAGCACCCTCAAAGACCAAAGAATTTACTTTAGACACCTCAAGGCATCCGACTGGCAAAACCAGTGAAGGCCCTACTCTGAAGCATGAAGCTAGTAGCGAGAGGTTCTTTCCCCCATTAACGGACATTAGTGGTCACGATGGGTCTATCACATCATCAGAAGGCTCCAGCGGGAAGAATAAAAAAAGGACTTCTCTCTTCTCTCCCCGGAAGAACAAAAAAGAGAAGAAGTCAAAGAATGAAAACAAGCAATCTGACAAATCCAGTAGCGCCGCTGAGGAATCCACAAAGCCCAAATCCCTTTGGAAGTCGGTTTTCTCCGGTTACAAGAAAGACAAGAAGAAAAAGGCAGATGACAAATCTTGCCCTAGCACACCTTCCAGTGGGGCCACAGTGGATTCTGGGAAGCATAAGGCATCTCCATTGGTTAGAGCAGCAGGTATAAAATAAGTGCCTATATATTATAATGATTTCACCCTAGCCAGAAACTCTTCCAGGCATTGTGCACGTCCATCAGATTTGCTTCAGCATGTTAGTTTGCTGTAACCCTTCATATATTTAGTGGTAGCTGAAAAGGAAGAATAAGTATGAGACGTCAGAATAACAACATACAGTCCTTTTTAAAAGGCATCAGGTATCTTTAGATTTCTGCCAGATATTGGGGAGTTCTGTATCTCACCGTAGCTAGATTAGACTGAAGGACAGTGATTCACCCAGTGTCACCAGTGATCTGATGGAAAGTTGAACATTGTCTGCTTAATTCTTGTCTGGTAATTTTGTCTTCTCGTATCTATGCATGTACTTATTTATTGCATTTCTCCCAGTCTGTAAGACACATAACTCTAGTCCAGAAAAAACAACGGTCATTTAAAATATATATATAACATCACAGAAGGGTTCCACCACCCATTCTAACCCAACACCTGGAGAATGGGTCAGTTTAGGGCAGGGGTCCTCAAACTTTTTAAATAGGGGGCCAATTCATGGTCCCTCAGACTGTTGTGGGGGTCAGACTGGCTGGGTGGGAATGGCTAGGTGGTCATGTGACTGGGTGGGCATGGCCAATTTAGCAGTCCATTAAACTACACACAAATTAAACTTTAATTTGTTATGTTCCTGGGGCTCGAAAGCAGATTAGTGAAGGGATATGGCTGCCTTGGTGTGTGTGTGTGTGTGTGTGTGTGTGTCTTTCTCTCCCTCCCTCTCTCTCTCTGGAGGCCGGGGAGGTCAAAAACGGGCCCGTTTTTGGCCTCGGCCTCCAGAACCACTCTGTCACCCAAAAATGGCCTTAGTTTTGGCCTCCTGAGGCCTCTGATGTCCCATTTTTGGCCTCCTTGCCCACCAGCGGGTGGAGGCCGCTGGGTAGGTGGGGCGATGTGGGCAATGTGGGCAGGGCAGCCTCGTGATCCCATGTGGGCCAGATTACTGGCTTTGGCGGGCTGTATCCGGCCCACGGGCCATAGTTTGAGGACCCCTGGTTTAGGGCCTGATTGGGGAGAATGAATATGCTCCTTGAGCTTTGCCATTTGACACATTTCTTTATTGTCTCAGATTTGCAACTGCGCCAACACTTAAGCTTCTCCGAGGATTCTGATCTTTCTAATGAAGATGTCTTAGAACGTTCCTCACAGAGATCTAAACGAGAGGTAAGTTGATACTGCTGTGATCATTTGAAGCCAAGATATGTCACAAAAGCTTCACAAAGACCGTGAAGCTTTTGTGGGTCATTTTAATATTTCCCTGTGATTTTGGATCTCTGGATCCAATAAGAATGAGAAAAATTAATTAGACCAAACTTCATAAATTATATCTAAAAGGTTTGTTTTGAAACTAAGTAGTCCTCAGATTAGAACTATAATTGCAACTAGGATGTCTATTACTAAACAAGGCAGTTAAGTGGGTCAGAGCCAGTTTTACAATGCTTTTTGGCACAATTGTTAAGCAAATCATGAAAGTTGTTAAATGAATCATGTGATCATTAAGTGAACATGACTCCCCTCACTGATTTCACTTTTTGGAAGCCAGCTTGGAAAGTCAGAAATTGTGATCACATGACCCCAAGATACTTCAACCGTCATAAATGTGCCAGTTGCCAATTGGCCAAATCCTGATCATGTGACCATGGAGATGCTGTAGTGTTTGTAACTACCAGAACCGGTTGTAAGTTACTCTTTTCAGTGCTGTTGTAACTTCAAACAGTCACTAAACAAATGGTTATAAAGCAAGGACTATATGTAATCTCAGATTCTTTTGCAGTCCTGAATTCTAGGTAAGCTTAGGTAGCTAGCTACTCCAAAAGTTATTTTAATAGAAGGGGAAAAGATGTTTAATTACATTGCCAAAAAAGCTATGTATAAAAAGAATTCTTTTTCTAAATTATGTAATAACCATAGGAATTGGCCAGGGGTTTTTTCCTCCAAATAATCATATATACACTCAATTTTTTAGCAAAGTTTGGCAATGGCAAATTATATCTATACTGTTGCTTAGTAAGACTTAGTGGAAATGTTCCTATAGTCACTAATAATCAACTTTGAATTGAGAAAGAAGTAACTAACCTGTTTGGTAATTGTACAAGATTATTATCCTGCAAACTTCTTGATTGAAATAGCAATTGGGTTTATTTGCAAACTGAGCTATTTGCAAATTGTTCTTTTTGCTACTCAAACCTACTTGTGACTGAGCTTGGTAACAGACTTGCTTTTACCCAGGATAGCTTAAGACAATTCTGGTGGGGTGGAGGATAGTGAAGATAAAATCGCTGGTTCAAAGTTCAACCTCTTTTATGTTCAGTGCCTACATTTTTCTCCTGGATTAATTTCTCTGTAACAATTCTTTTTGAATTGCTCTTTTTATTTGATTTTTTAAAATTTATCACTTTTATGCTTGCCTTTTAGCTTTCCATTGCAGGTTCTACATTACATATGGGAATTTTTTTAAAAAGATATACTTGCGATACTGAAAAGGGATAAAGATTGTAGTTTCCTATGAGTTCCAATGTAATCAATCATCTTGAAATCTAAACCTTGCTACTTAAGGCAGGTTGGGCCTAAATGTAACAGAGAACAATTTCCCCCTTTAAAAAACCCCAGTCAAAGTGAATATTGTGTTTTTCCTGCCTAGTTTGCATAACATAGAGATATTCCAGATGTCATAATCCCTAAAGAGCAATGGTGCTAGGAATTACAGTATTAAGATTTAAATTGAAAGTGGGAGCTAGGAAATCTTTTTTTGCTAGCAATAAATGTTCCATAGATTAGCTAATCCACTCTAAGTGTTTTAATAAGAGTACATTTACAGGCATTTCTTAGAGTAGTTAAAGGATCAGACTGACAATAGCAACAGATGGTTTAACTCCTACTTTAAACATAATTGTCGAAGAGCTTTTGTTGTACCCCTCTCCTTGTGGGATATTTTTCATAACAGTGGCAAAGTGGGATGGGATATTTTAACTTTAACAATGTGGACTAGATGAGCTGATAATGTAGTTTTACAGGACTGTCCTTGAATTATAGGGTGTGTGATTTGGAAGGAAACTTGAAAAATCACGTAATCCCTTACTCTGGTCACTGAAGATTAAAAAGCAAGAGCCAGAAGATTACATAAACCTTGCACAGAGCCTTGGTCTAAGGCAGACTGAGTGTGTTTATATCTTAGTACAGGGTTGGGCAACAACTATAGCCTCTTTACAGCCTGTGGATTTCAACTCCCAGAATTCCTGAGCCAGCCACAGATAAATGGGCTATAATTGCCCATCTTTGTCTTAGTGGAAGACCCCCACTTGTTTTCCAAGTGATGAAGAAACAAAATAAACAGAGAAACTGGTACAGGTATCCTTCACAGTGTAAAATCACAACAACAATATTCCTTAGAAAGGAAACATACTAGTTATGACCAGGTGCAGAACAGTACAAATATTAAAATCCAATTCTTAAGAATACTACATAAGAGATATAGAGAATGACAAAGACAATATTATACAAAGACAAATATGAACCTGGTTATAAAATCAGTTCAGTCTAAATTTTTATTCCAACTCTCAAGTTTCTAGAGAACATTGTCACGCCAGGGAAACAAAGCACAGTCAGTGTGATTTTCCAAACAGTAAAAGTTACTCGTGCATAGCTTCTAGACCAGTGGGTCTCAACCTTCCTAATGCCGCGACCCTTTAATACAGTTCTGCATGTTGTGGTGACCCCCAACCATAAAATTATTCCTAAAACCATTGAAAATATGTGTTTTCCTATGGTCTTAAGCGACCCCTGTGAAAGAGTCATTCGACCCCCAAAGGGGTCCTGACCCACAGGTTGAGAACCACTGTTCTAGACCAAGGCTCAGCTGCCTGTTTTGTAGTGACTAAAATGACATTACTGCCTAGCATTGGGAAGGCGGGGGATCTGATGTATAATGTTGAAAGCATCTGCTAAATAAATATATAATTTCTTGTAGCTTGTATTCCTGAATCAGTTATCGTCATATATGTATATGCTGCTGTCATGAAACATTTAAATCATGTAGTTGCAGATTGCTCAAAAATATGTTGCCTTTTCCTAAATGCAGAAATTTTATTTAAAACTCACCCAACCTTTCTCACTTCCCTGTTCATGTTTTTGTGCTTAGTTTCAGAAAAAGTGAATGTGTTGCCAAAAGTATTGAAGGGCAGGCATTCAGAATAAGAAATAATTCTGTGTTTTGTGCAGTCCTGTCAGTGTTTTGGCATACTTACTTACCCAAATAAAGTGTTAGATCCAAAATTCAATATCCCAAGACCTTAAAATCTAACACTGAGACTTAGGAAGTGATTGCCTTTTGCATATTTGCATAAAATTTGCAAATTTTGAAAATGCAAATGCAACTAATAACTTTGGGACCCCAAAGATTATTTTATTTTATTTTACTTTATTTCTTGTAAAGCTACTGTATATGCTTCCATTGCGTATTTCCAAATTCTGAAGTATTTGTATTCTGTAGTTTCATGTTATATTTCAAGCAGCATTTTTGTTTATTGTTGTCTTTCTGTATTGAGTGTTATTATGTTGAACTGATCTTGCTCCATTTTGTGTATTTCTTTTATTTTTGCCTTTGCTACTCCTTCCCCTCCCTCCCCATTTTTAAAGTCGATTTACATACCACACGCCTTGGCATTCAAGAGATCATTTGCATCAAAGGTAGTGTCTCCATTCTCATTGACTGGCCATTGTTGCATGCATTCCTGTTATTAACCTACCAGCTTCTTAGCCTATATCTCCTCTGCTCTTTCCTGCCTCCATTTATACTAATACAACCGGAGATTGTGCATGTACGCAGCAATTAACAACATCAACACAACAGATCATCTTCAAGTCCCAAAACATCAAGTCCATTTGAAGTGTATTGAAGACCCAGCTGGGAAAACTGTTGATTTTAATCACAGGTTTTGGAGGCACTCTACAAAGTGCTTACCTTGGTGGGTTGGATATTTGCCCTGTACGTAAAAGAGGGATTGATCTAAATATTACCACATATTACAGATTCTACCTCCATTTTATTCTTACAACAACTCTTCAAAGGTAGGTTAAACAGAGAGGAAAGGATGGGTTCAGAGTCAACCAGGGATCTGTCTTTGGATCTTCATGATCGATCTTAATCTTGTAACCCCGTCACTGTACCATGTTGAGTCTTGATTGATGAGTATCCACTGTGGCCTTGTGTGGGTAAGAAAGACTTTAGAGAGGCATAGATCGTGGCCTATGGGTACATACGAAGCAATTATGGTTGTAGGTTTGAGTCGTGAAGGGGAAAAAATGAAATAAGCAGTCCATCAATTTGTTTATCTTATGCCAATTACATGAGCTATACATTCTCTCCAAATTATTAATTTCACTATGGAACTGATTATCAGACTGATGTAGTAGAAGGCTTAAAGCAGCTTTAAGCTGTAATTGGAGCTTCCCAAATTTTGGTCTTTTCTGTTCCTAATTGGAGAAGACTAATTTAAAGGGACTCGGAAGAGATTTCTTGTTGTATGACATCTTTTCAGTTCTAATGAACTTAGTGGTGACTTTAATGGTATTCCTCCTCTTCCTTCATCTTATCTGTTGAGGGATTCAGCTACAATGATCTAGCGTTCAATTGATTGATTTATTTTTAATGAGGTGAAAATGTGGGAAACGGGAAAACAGCCTTTAGCTGCTTATATAAATGAGGATCTGCTCTCTTAATATAAAAGGAGATACAGTAAATGGTCATAAAGCATATATTACAATTGCCATGGGAATCTTTTTATTAGACACATAGGAATTTTTAAACTCTAAAAGGAATTATACAAGTCACATAACTATCTTGAAAATAAATATGTGCATTAATCACTTAGATGTCATATTTTAGATGCTGGATTTCGTATTTTTAAAAAAAGATGAATCATAGCATTATAGGACAATTTATGTAAATATATATATATATAGCTAAAGTGTAAATGCAGCTACTGCTGGTGTATCTTTTAAGACTATTGTTAATATGATTCCATTATATCTTTATTGACATGAATTTTCTCCTCAAATATTGACCTAATAGGCAAAATGTTTATAATAAAGGAGAATATTTGCAGTTTAGAGTTGAAATGAGGGGTCTTTGGTGCTCCCTGATTTTACCTAGTTTGGGTAATGAAACATCTGCTAGAAAACAACCAAGCTCAGAGAGCACCAAGGACCCCATTTTCTAGCCTACCTTCTCCCAAGTACTTTGGTTGAAGATATGTTGGAAGTTGATTTGTTTTAAATATTATGATGGAGAATTCAGCCCTTTTCCTGTGGTATGGTTTCCAAGTGAATCACAAAATGCATAATACATCTCCTTATGTTGAGAGTGCAACTTGGGTCATTCAAAGGGTTTTTGAAATGTGAATTGAATTGCAGACTACAGGTAGTCCTCAATTTACAACAGTTTGCTTAGTGACCATTCGAAGTTACAACAGCACTGAAAAAAGTGACTTATGACCATTTTTCACACACTTATGACCGTTGCAGCATGTCCATGGTCACGTGATTTATGTTCGGAAGCTTGACAACTGACTCACATTTATGACTGTTGCAGTGTCCCAGGGTCATGGGATCACCTTTTGCAACCTTCTGATAAGCAATTCACTTAACGACCATGTTACTAATTTAACAACTGCAGTGATTCACTTAACAAATGTGGCAAGAAAAGTTGTAAAATGGGGCAAAATTCACTGAACAAATTTCTCACTTAGCAACATAAATTTGGGGCTCAGTTGTGGTTGCATGTTGAGGACTACCTGTAAAGTCTTAGCCACAGCATTGAAAAGGCTCTTGGCCACGCACCATACTTTGCTCAGATATATTTAGCCCAGTTCTTTACATGTTTGCTCAATAGATCCATAAGGAATAATACATAGGATTTTATATGTAGTAAGAACATGAATGAAATCAAGAGCATCTCTCCTGTATGTGACAGGCCATAAGGAGCATTAAGAAGACAGTCATAACTTCAAGCTCTGTCAAAATCACTGCTTTGCACCTGGTTCAAGCCTCTTCCTTCCCCTCTTAGAACTCCACCAAAGCTCACCTGCTGCGCCATTAGCTCACATCCACCTGGGAGGACAACTTGCTTGCTGAACAGAAAGCACAGCAAGTGGCACAGTGCTCTAGAAAGTAGAATGCTTCAATCCCAGAATCTAGGGATAAATTTCAGCAAGTGATTAGAATATGTTGCTATTTCTTGTTACTGCAGAAAGCCTACACGGAGGAGGAACTCAACGCCAAACTGACCAGGCGAGTACAGAAAGCCGCTCGTCGTCAAGCCAAACAAGAAGAACTGAAGAGGTTACACAGGGCCCAGGTACAGCTATCCCTTTTTGGGGAAATGCTTTGCATGAATGCGTAAGAAAGAAAACACCTTGGGCCTATATCTCTCTGCATTGTGCATCAGAAAATATACTTCAGATTTATGAAGTCCTTAAAGAAAATATACCTCAGATTTATGAAGCCTTAAAGAAAATATACCTCAGATTTATGAAGTCCTTAAAGAAAATATACCTCAGATTTATGAAGTCCTTAAAGAAAAATACCTCAGATTTATGAAGTCCTTAAAGAAAATATACCCTCAGATTTATGAAGTCCTTAAAGAAAATATACCTCAGATTTATGAAATCCTTAAAGAAGATAGTAGTCATTCAAGTACAACTTGAAGTTTTATCTCTGTCTGCTTGCTTTAATGTTGGGCAGTATAGTATATTGGGGGTGCTACTGTAAAAGTCCTACAAAATCTGAGGTTCAAGAAGGGAAAGAATAAATTACTGCATCATCATATATAGCAAAGGTTTTCTTTCCAGCTGTGAATATTGTTCTGTGGCTGCATCTCCAAGTGTCACTGTGGTAAAAGCTAGGGAGGGAGAGATATTCCTTACAGTTACTAGCCATAGATATGCACTTGGCTATGTTGCAGTGGTCCTACAGAATCAACTGGTAGGGTGTGTAGAAATGGGACTGCTAATGGGCACACCTTTCTTTGCAATACTAGAAGGGGAAAATCTCATTTATGCAGAGTGCACAGTCATTTTGGATCATTGTTCTCCTTCCATAGATCATCCAAAGACAATTAGAGCAGGTTGAAGAGAAGCAAAGGCAGCTGGAGGAGAGAGGAGTTGCAGTGGAAAAAGCCCTCCGGGGTGAAGCAGGTACTTTCCACCATTCAGTATTGTGTCTGTCCTTTTTAGAAAAAAATGTTATCAAATTTTCCTGCAAAAATATATATGACTTTTATGCTGTCTCTGGAAAACAGGTTGCTTTCTAAGCTGCAAATAGTTTTGAGTTACCAGTCCTTTTAATATATGAATGAAAATTCACCAGTTCCCTTATCTGCAAAGTTGTGTTCATGGCAAGATAACACTGTGGAAAGGGATTTCGATCCCAAACCTGTTTTTCAGACTTTGGCCAATTCTTAATGTTTTCCAGAAAGTTGTGATGCACTTGTGCTTCGTTTCGGAACTAAAATTTGCCTTAGTAAGAAAAGCTCAGCTGTTTTCAGCAAGTGAAAGGGAGACAATGAAAATCTGTCATGGTTTTAATTCTTGATGTTGTGAGTTGAAATCAGTGGCCTTGCAAGGGACCATCACAGAACAGCCCCAACCAATGCCACATACTGTTTATTGATTTTTCACCAACCCAGTCTTCTCACCAAGATACATGGAACATACATTCATATAATGCATGAAATGATGTTCTGCATCTTCTGTTCATAGAATGAGTTTGCACCCTTGGTGATTTGTTTTAGTGAGCATTTCCTAGAGTCAACATACCGTAGATGGAGATAGGAAAAAGTAAAAGTTCACAACAAACACAGGACTTCTACTTGAAATCTGATGTTTCCCCTTTTAAAATGTCAGTTGTAACCTTCCCTCAACTGGTAGTTCCTCAGAAGTTTTGGGATTAAGTCATATGAACATTCTAGATTTTAATGTCAGCTATCTGAGAGTTGCAAATTGAACAGATCTGGAAGGCCCCAAATTAAGAAAATGAAAGCTTCTTGAACAATATTAGTCATCACGCCATCTGTAGCAGATGTCATCCAAGTGTGATGACATTGTGTCATGCAGTAGGTTTCCCTGGACTTTGAGATGGAGGGAAATTATAAATGAGGATGTTGTGGGCAGGAAAGATGTGGGTCTAAAGCTTTTTTTACACACAATACATGTGTAGCAACCTCTGCATTATACTGGAAAGAGAGTTCCACGGCCTTGGGAGTGGAGTAGAGAAAGATAGACCCAAGACCACCACAGGAGGTGAACATCTCCAGTTAAAAGCAGGAGTAGTTTTAGGAGGAGGTTTTTCTCTTGCATTGTATTGTCCCAAAGGTACTTTTTTAAAGGACTTCCCACCAGTTAGTTAGAACTGAAGAAATTTGTTGGATGAAAAGTGAAATAATAAGAAGTCCAATTGCCTTTTTAAAAAAGCACTTTTGGGACAACCTGAGAAATTCCCCTCCTGAGAACCTTCCCTCCTAGACCTCTTACATTGTATTGTAATCCCTTTATCAGTTCTAGAGAGGTTATCACCCATGCTTTTCTAAGGCATTGATGAAGATACATTTGAAGATAGTCTATAGCTAATTCATGCCTTTGTTAGTCCACTTTCCTGGTTCAACAGGGTGTGATGCTTTAATCCATCTGTGTCCTTTCACATGTAGATTTCCTTCAGATAGCTGCCAATGCAAGTTCTTTTCTTTTTGGTTGGGCTGTCTATGACATCCTGGTAAATAGGGCCACAAGAGACTGAGCAATCTTGTAAAATGAGAGGTCATTACCTCCCAAATATTACATGCAGTGATGGTGAGCTGGTAGGCAGAAGATCTTCATAGTTCCACTATATATATACAAAACGTGATGGGAGATAAGGAAAGTAGTGGCTGAGGAAAATATCCAGCTTTCGCCAAGGCTTCACTTTTGAGCTGGCCCATCATTACTGTTAATTGTCTTTTCAACTCAGGGTTAAGAATTTAAAATAGTTTGATATATTATTGAAAAAGAAAGAGAAATGTAGACTTGGTTCAGACTCTTCTGATATCAAGTGGGACATAAGATTTCTAGATGCTCATGTCACTTCAATCTCAATAGTGACTTATCCTCAACTATTTCCCACCTATATCTCCCCATGTGTTTTTTTTTTTTAATGTAGTTTGTCAGTTTGATGCATTTAGCGGTAATCCCAAGTGAATCTCCCTGGTCTCAAAAGAATTAGATAGGTCTTGCCAAAAAAAATACAATTGTGGTGTGAAGTTAAGGGGCAGGACTTCTATGTGGTATCCCCCACATCTTTCAAAACTCTACCCTCAACTCTACGCCTAGTCCAATCACTTCTGGCATTTAAGAAGACACTAACATGCCATTCATTTTAAGTAGCCTTTAGTGCCTATATTATACTGATGGGTCACCTTGGACTTTTATTGTACTTCATTATAGTTTATTCTTGATACTGTTTTGTTGTTGTTGTATACTGCACAGAATGCAGGGGTATAAAATTTTTGAAAGAAATTACTGAAGAGCTGCATTGTCTCTCCTTTAATGACTAGTTGTCAGTGTGGCAAGAGATGATGCTCTTCTGACACTGCATGATGGGAAGAAAAACTTCCCATCCTTTGTTGGCTGATGATGAATGTTAAAATAACATCCTTGTAAAGTGGGTTGTTTCACTCTGGAGGTATACCTAGACTTGTGATGGTGAACCTATGGCACGGGTGCCAAAGGTGGTACACGGAGCCATATCTGTGGGCACACGAGCGTTGCCCTAGCTCAGCTCTAGACACATGCGTGTGCCAGCCAGCTGGTTTTTGGGCCTTCCGGGCCCACTGGAAGTCAGGAAATGGGCTGTTTCTGGCCTCTGGAGGGCCTCCCGGGGGTGGGGAAGGCTGTTTTCACCCTCCCCAGGCTCCAAGAAAGCCTCTGGAGTCTGGGGAGGGTGAAAAACGGGCCTATGGGGCCTACCGGTAACCTTTTTGCCATAGTGTGCCAAAAGCAGGGGGAGCGCAGGGGGGAGGGGTCGAGCGCGCATGCGCAGGGGGGGCGGAGTATGGGGAGAAATTGAATTATGGATGTGGGCACGCGCGTGCACGACCTCCCCACACTTCCCCTATTTTTGGCATGCGATGGAAAAAAGGTTAGCCATCACTGACCTTAGACCCTCTAGTTATATTTCTGTTTAGTATACATTTGATAAATAGCCAAAATGGATTGATGGCTAAGGTGTTGGACTACACAGAAAACCTCTCTTCTGCCTAAAGCACAAATTTGCACTCTATATATTGTTTTCTGTGGAGTTCTCTGCATTAGGCAAAATTTTTGTATTCTGTCAAGAGAAGTATAGTTCATACAGTTTAGAAGTAACCTGAGATATCTTGGCACTGGAGGGGGAAAAAATCAAACTTCTACTTCTTCCCAATGGCAAATGAACAATAATCAAATTTTAATGCTTTTTAATAGTGCTTACAAACATTGGCAGTTGACGCCAACTCTCTGTGTGCTGCCTAAGAAAGCCACAAAGGAAGGTTTGGTACATTGGGTGTGTTATTGGTAATTTCTTACTAGAAATTGAATTTCAAGTAATTAATATTCTATGTCTTTTTCTTCTTTTTATAACTCATAAAGGGGGATGCTTTTAATAAATAAAAATATTCACATAATTACTTTGCAAATATTTTTTAAAATCACATTTTGGATCTAAAGGAAGTTCTACTGGAAGAATTTTCCTTTGGATCTCTCTGTAGAACATAATTTTGGGGAAGAATATTCCTTTTCTGCAGAAGAGACATGGCAACTCCTTAATGCCACTGAGTTTTGAGATTTTGTGTTGTTTTTATTACACTATTGCTCAGTTCCAACAGTGTTGGCCCGCACTTTTTAGTTCTGTGAAGGCTACATCAGATGGACTATGTTTATTATTATTTCATTTATACAAAATGATTGTTTGTTGAGGAAAGTTATTACATAGTTGTTTAACAACTGAGAATTTCTTAGGATCTCATAAGCAAACTCCTGGATTCTATTGAGTCCTATTGGTGAATGTTCCTCTGAAGAACGAGTAAAATGTAAAAAAATAGTTGGGAGAGGAAAACTTCGCATTTCTTTAGCCTCCTAGATAAAAGCGGGCAACATGGCTGAGCAACTGAAGGATGAAGGAAGAAAGTCATCCTTGAGGGGATCTTGGTGCTCTCTGAGCTTGGTTGCTTTCTTGCAGATATTTCAATATCCAAACTAGGTAATACCATCAGTCTGATATGATATTACCAGTATATTACCTAGACTGAAGATGGAACAAGCAAACTCAGAGAACACCAAGAACCCCTCATTTCAAACCTGAGCTACAAATATTCTCCTTTAAAGTCATCCTTGCAACATTCAACAGTGTCCAATCCAGCGGCATTCATGGGAGTAGACTTTATCAACAAGTCGAGGTCGTACCACAGCAGCACGATCAAAGCCCTTCCCCTTTGTACATAAGTATAGTATCAACACATGTACACAAGGATGGAATTTCGACCATGCTGCTATGCCTGTCATCTTGACATTCTTGATCTCTCTCCTATGGACACAGTTGCCCCTTCCTACTTGGTTGAATGGAGAATACATATTACATACATTGAATTTCTTCCCACTGGAAAATGTTTGCAGAACCTTCCTTAATGCCCCTCCGATGACATATAAGAAACAGGGAAGTGCACATGCTGAAATAAACTTTACAAAACGTAGCCTGTTCCCTTTCTTTGCTTGGAAGTCCATCCCTGCCTGTCTTGCCTGCCTATTTTTTTAAAGGGAATGTTACTTCCTTTCCTTGTCTTTTTAGTATCTATCATATATATGTATGTGCATATGATGATTATAAAGATGCATGATTTATTGTTGTTTCTGTCTCTCTTTTCTCTCTCTCTCTCTCAGTCTTTCTCTGTACATTCTCATGTTTGCAATTTCTCTAATAGAATGCTTTGAAATCTGGGCAGGGAGTGGGGAGGGCAGGCGGGGGAGGGGGGACTTGAACCAATAACTCTCTCTCTTCACCAATTCCTTGTTGTAGACTATTGGGGAGAGTCTTATTACAGTGACCTCATCGACTTGCATCTGGGTGGTATGTATGGCAGACCCTCTCTTCTGGCACTAACCTTGCTGACACCCTCTCCTGCTCCAGTTCCCCTGCACTGACTTCTCGCCACCCCAGCTCACAAGCCATGAGATGGAACCACCCAATGGATTGGCGAGGGCACAACCCCTTTTCCAGCTCAAAGGAAAGACTTCATTCTCTAGAGCAGTCCTTTCATTAGCAGGTTTTTGTTTCAGAACTCAGTTTGGCTGGCAAACACCAGACCGAGAAAGCAAATTATACTCGCCACGTGTACCTACCTTTTGGAACATGTGGAATTTGTCTTGTCTGGACATACAGTACATGGTTTCTTTCTTTCTTTTTTATTGTTTTCTATTCTTTCAAAATATAAGCCACCAAATGTTGTTTTGGAGTCAAGCAGCCTTTAAATCTAATAAATAAATAAATAAATGAGCAAACAATCAAACTTGATGCTGTAAAAAAAGGAGGGATGGAAATAGATTAAGAGAAAGCTCCTTGTGATCCTCTAGAGCAGGGGTCAGCAACCTGCGGCTCTGGAGCCACATGTGGCTCTTTCACCCCTCTGCTGCGGCTCCCTATCATTCAAAATAGGTATCACAACCGCCAACATGCGACATCCGCCTGCACACGATTTATTGAGCTTTTCAACCCCCAGTAGGCCAACCATGGATAAATCCAACAAAAGAAAAGTTTCAGAAGAAAACAGAATGTTTAATTCAACTCTATATGCCAGTTTTGTGGCCGCTCAAGAAACAGTCAGGCACAGGAAGGGTTTTGTGGCTCCTGGTGTTTTTTTTTTCTGTGGGAAATGGGTCCAAATGGCTCTTTGAGTGTTTAAGGTTGCAGACCTCTGCTCTAGAGTGATGTTTCTCAAACTTAAACCACTTTAAGGTATTTGGACTTCAACTTCCAGGATTCCTCGGCCAGCAGTTGTTATGCTTTCATTTCCTCCTTCAGAACCTTGGCCATTATTGCCAAGAATAATGGCAATAATGTAAGATGTAGTTCAGCATTAACTGATGGCCACAGGTTGCTCACTCTTGCATTAGATATAGTAACAACATACAGAAGAGACCTCAAAACTGCAGAGAATATGTGACAAGGCACAGACTGCTTTGAATATTAAAAGAGTTTTTCAGATGGCCCTGGTTCAACTTTTTCAAAGTGAAATCAGACTTGGCTTTCACATCAACTCAAGCTGTCCCTCCCTGAAGAAGAATCTCACTGCTCAAAATGACCTGTCAAGAAATTGGTCCTTTGTTCATAATGAAAACATCTTTTCTTTTTGTCCTAGGATTAATCATGTGTTTTATTCCTATAGTGAGTATTTGGATTATTACTTCTAGGAATTGTGGTTTTCTGTTTTCATCCAGAACTGCGAGATCCATTCCTGGATATTTGCATAGGTCTAAGCATTGGGAATATTGATTAATTTAATTTAGACAAGTTTATTCAGTAACAAATTAATTAGAAATTCTATTCTTCTAGCAGCTTGATAGCATGACAGCCTATTTAGGAGGCTCAAATCTCTAAATCTCTTTCCATATGTAGCAGTCACTGAATTGAAAAGGGGCCATTATCGTTTGCTATACTGCACATTTTACACTTAGGAAGTGCCAGATGGAAGTATTTCTCAACCTTAGCAACTTTACGATGTGTGGATTTCACTGGTGGATTTTGGGAGTTGAAATCCACACTTGTAAAGTTGAGAAATATAGTTCTAGATTACTATTCTCGAGCTGATGACTTTTGGAATGCAATTCATATTTTTGTTTTTGCATTCAGCTTCTGTGAATTCCACTATGTGAATGACAAAGACACATCAAACTCCAGTTTCACATATTCTTTCTTTAAAAATCTTGACAATCCTTTTTCCAAGGCTGTTAACCTTTTTCCATCCACCCTTGAAGCCTTGCTTCAAGAAAAAAGTGTGTTCATTTATACTTCATTTACAGTATAATTTTTTTTAATGTATTTCGGGATTCGATGGTTGCAAAAAAACCCTCATACATATTTCACTCATAGATTGCTTGAAGCTTCACATATGTGCTACTACATTCACAAACACTACAATTTATAGGGACGCAGTGCTAGTCCAATGTATTTTTGTTTTGTAAGATACAGGACAGAATCATGTCGTGTATTTATTTATGTTCAGTTTATATGGCTGCCTGCTTGCTAAACAATTCTGGGTGGCTAACAACATTAAAAGCAGCCAGAGATGCAAATAATAAAAATCCAGCAATAGTTTTTTAAAAAAACACAGTATTAATACCTTCGGTGCCAAAGTAAGAATTCATCTCATTTATCTTAACACATAATGATCACTGATTCAGCATCGTGCTCCGGGGGAAGAACCAAGTTTTCAGTGTCTTTCTAGAAAGCTTTGTGTCTATAGATGGAGCTGTAAAAGGGTTAATGCTAAGTTACACCTAGCAGGCTCTCCTTCCTGGCTGATGTTCTTCCCACTCTACTACTATTTCTGCTTCCTCTTCCTAATTCCTCCTGGAAAATAGTCTTCGTTTCACTTTTGCTAACTGATGGCTTTAAAAAATAGTCCTTGAAATAATTTAAAGGAACACTGTCATTTTTCATATAACAGTTTTACATTGCTCAAACAAACAAAAAAAACAGTCAAATTTGCTTTCCATAACCTGTGTCCTTTGCCTAGCTGCCTATTCCATTTGGAAAATGGACTGTATGCAGCACTACTACTTATTACTTTCTGCCTCGCTAAATAATTTTGGAATTATTTATATGGTGTTTCTTTCATTGAAATTATGCTAATAGAATGACACAATTTCCAGTTATTTCTCTTAAACCATGACATAAATATTTGCTTCTCAGCTATTTTTGAGATTTCAAAATCTAAACACCCAAAGGAAAAATGGATATTCCTTTAATTAAATGGCAGTATCCCTTTATATCAGTATTTCTCTGACTTGGCAACTTTAAGACATATGGATTGCTGGCTGGGATATTCTGGGAGTTGAAGCCCACAGCTCTTAAATTTGCCAAGCTTGAGAAACATTGCTTTAAATGCAATGCTGTGTTAAGTGCAGAAAAGGAAAGTTGTGGCTTTCTAGTTGTAGTTCATGTTGTGTGACTGATGTTGATGCAATTACTTTGTCACGGGGCTGCCAGAATGCTCACAAATCGAATTGGAACTGGAATAGGAATTTCCAATTAAAATATCTACAATAAACTTAGCAGCTTTTATTAATATCTAATGAAGGGAGTCTTCAGTTACTATTGTGAAAATCTGAGGGATTAGTGTTTCCCTCCAAAAGAAACCCTCAGAATGTGACTTCATCTAAACAACTCGGTCAGAAGTGAGGAATTCTGGGAGCTGTGCCCCAATATATTTGCAAAGTTCTGTGTCGGGGAAAGTTGTTTAAATGTTAAGGGAGGGCATGTGAAAGCTCTAAGATAATTTATCACCAGTTTTAGCTTGCTTGTGGTAAATCTCACTAGAGGACCTTGCTCTAACTCAACACTGAGTTTGACTGAAGTTGAATTTCTGAAATTAATTAGAAAAGGAAATATGTGAATCAAGGGTCCTTAAAGATGCAACAGTAGTTGGATCACGAGAGCTATTCCCTCATCTGAACTTGCCCAGAGACTGCTGTCTTGCAATCTCCTCATGAAAAGTGCTATCTGGAACACTTGTGGATGATCTCGTGTCCTCTCCTTATCCAGAGAGGTATTATAAAGAGCCTGTCTACTCGCCGAATCATCTTCATTCTGCCAAGATCATCAGCTTCACTTTTAGTGAATTCATCTTCAGTTCACCATTTCTTCCCTGGAAGTCCGATGTTTTAGTGATGTTTTTATTTTGGATAATACCTGTATTGACAATTGATTCACCACTTAAGCAGTGGCAAAGGAATATATCTAATTTTATGTGGCAAGTGGGGGGGGGGAAATCACAATTTAAACATAAGGTGTTACAAGATCCAAAGGAAAAAGGAAAATTAGTTTTACCCAACTTGAAATTATATTTTGCAGCTTGTTGTTTGGTTTGGATAAAAGACTGAATGCTGCTGGGAAATAAAAAGCTCTTAATGTTAGAAGGACATGACCTGAGATTTGGGTGGCATAGATATTTGTGATATGATAAAGTCAAAATTAATGTGAATGTTAAAAAATGTTAGACGTGCCATATTGAGAATATGAAACAGATACAAATCTAAACTGTGTCCAAAAACCTATTGTGGCTGTCAGCATTAGAAGACGATAGAACTTGCTGAGATTGCCAAATTAATTTGCTTGATTAGAGAAAAAATATTTATTGCCAATTCAAAACCTGTTACAGACTTTTTGTATAAAACAAAAAAAAAAAATGAAATTTACAATTCATGGTTTTGATAATTAGATAGGATAGATCATAGAAAGGAGACATAATGCAACTTTGGAGAAAGAGGTAAATTTATAATTGTACTTATACCTGCTGTAAATCTACCTCTTTATATCTTTTTTTTCTTTCCTATTTTTCTTTTTCTTTCTGTCTTACACTTTGAACTTTATCTTTGGTTACTTTCTTCTAATGTTTTATTCCTTACTCTATTCAAAGAGGTATCTTTTAGCTTAATTTGACCACTTACCTTTTACCTTGTTGTTACAAATCAAGATGTTTGGAAGTGAATTTCATTAGACCGCTGCTGCAGGAGCTGCCGTGATCAGTGGTAGGTTTTTGGATGCAGTAGAAGATGCTGGCTGCGAAGACCTGTACTGGCCCAAGGCCTGGGTATTGTAGAGATTGCCGTTATTTGCTTGCCTGTTCAAAAAATTAGGAAGCACTTGCTAATGGTCCCCAGCTACTAGGAGACACAGTGGGGAACACTCAGCGGTTGCCATTCTTTTAACAGCACCCATAAAACAAGAGAGTCCTCCATCATGGCCTTCCAGAACTGTTAGGGATTAATTTTAACCAGCAGTGCTGCACCAAGTGAATTTTAATGTTAGTCTCCAGTTTGGAGAATTAGATTTTGAAGTTTACTGTTTTAATTACAAGTATATTTTGTATTTTGTGCTGTGTTTCGTTTTGTAAGCTCTTTCAATTCATTAGAGTCCAATGGGTTTCAAGTGGTGGTCAAATCTCATTTAAACAAACAAACAAACAAACAAACATGAGAGAACTAATTTTTCAGTTCTGTATTGAGTGTTGAGCTTTGCAAGCCTGTGAGATGTACAAGGTGTAGCTCTGCATTGGTTGATCAACAAAACAGTGGAGATGAATGTTATGTAATTCACCTATTTAATGCTTTGCTTCAACATTCCCTGCCCTGCACTATTCCAGATGTCTTCTACTAAAAAATCTATTATAATTGGACCATGTTTGTGGGAGATGATGGAGTTGCAGCCTGACATATATGGAAGATGTGAGAGTAGGGAAGTTTACTTTATTGTGTAGTATTTGATAGAAAGGATCTTTTTGAGGTTGGGGGAGTCTTCGCTGTTGGATTGGAGAAGGAGAGGTCTGTGACTCTGGTGACTTCAACAAGGTTTTTTCTGCAAAATTTAATTATTTGACAAATCATCCAAGGGATAGTCAGGCTACAAGGTTTTATAATTAAATTTAACACTTGATAGACGATGTAGATCTTTGATATGTGTTGTATAACCTGTGTACCAGTTAGCAACCTAGATGATGCATTTTATATATACTTTTAAAGGTTTAGGTTAGATAGGAAACACTTTTCGGTAGTCTAAGTATGATGTCCTCATGCACAGGTGACTGTTGCTACTTCAGAAATAGTCACGGTTGCTTCAGTGACTGTTATTGTGTAAACACTTTCTTTGTTATGGTTGCTACCTGTCAATCTAGAGGCTGTGAAAATTCAAGAGGACATTCCCATGCTGCTTTGTTGATGCAAACCTAGTCAGTTAGAGCTGTAAAATTCCAATAGCTTGAAATAGATACCCAATCTGGGATCTTGAGAGAGAATTTAAAATTAAAACTTATTCTTCCAGATTTATTTTGTTATTTAAATAATACATAGATTGTTCTTGTCGACATGCATCTCCAAGTCTGATTTTCTCAAACAACAAAAAACCACTTTGGGGACATTTGAGCTAGTTATTTTATTATGATAGATAGATAGATAGATAGATAGATAGATAGATAGATAGATAGATAGATAGATAGATAGATAGATAGATAGATAGATAGATAGATAGATATGCTATAGATACCAGCAGTGGAATTTCTTCAAATATGATTTTAGAAAATATATACTTTGTAAAATATTTATGTAGCTACCGTACTGTACCCTCCTTTCTTCTGATTAAATTTTCCATACTCAATATAAATGTTTCTTCTGTCTATAAAAATTGGTTTATCCCCACCCTGTTTGCAGACTGGTGTTTCTTTAATTTTGATCCATCCTTTGTGTTTCTGTTCTAGTTCTGTGATGGTCCCTTCTAAAAGAACTTCCCTTCCCAAATTGTGTAGTTCTTCAAAATGGAAAACATGACTCTCTTACTCTTCCATTTTGAGTACATGTAACTCTGGCTTCTACTGAATGCTTTCTAAGGAATGTGATAGTTCTTCCTCATTTCACAGTAGTTTCACTACAGTTCATCTGCTGTAATCCTTACGTCATAAATCTTTGTATAAGACTTTGTCTCTTTACATATAAACTCATGTAGTTGCTCCCTCTGGGCCCTCCCACAGAGTTTTTCCTCTTCAGCATGTATTATTGTTCTGGGCCTTCCATGCCTAGTAAACACCACTGATATTAGATAATCCACTCTGGAAACGTTTAGAGCAAGGCTGTCAAACTCGCGGCCTGCAGGCCGGATGCTTCACATGCTGGCCACACCCAGTTTAGCGAAGGGGGGGAAAGTCCCAATACATCATGTGACGACACCGTGATGACATGAGTTTGACATTCCTGATTTAGAGTGTATCTTGAATTCTTCATGATGTTGGGTGGACAGCTAGATAAGAAATGATTGGATTTGTCTAAACAACAGCTGAGGTCTAACGTTGATTCAGAAAATCGAACAGTGAGAAATATGCCTCCTCCTGTCTCTTCAGAGGGAGGAATTCTGTGTCTCTCTCAGAAGGAATGTTTGTTTACTGATCCTGGTTCCATGCAAATTTTTCCTTTATAGATACATAATAGCTCAATGGAGTATATTCCATAGTTTTCTGCATTCTCTTTCTATTTGAAGGCCTAAAGTCTAAAGCAGGGGCCTTACTTATGTTTCACATGAAATTCAAAAGGGGGAAATATCTGTGCTTAGTAATAAACATTGTTCAATTTATAATAATATGGAAGTTAGAAAGGTTCAAGTGTATATGTACTAAGAACAAAACGTATTGGATGAAGCTAAGGCAGGCCCAGTCTAAGCATATTATTCGTTAACAAGTTGTAGCCAAAGATTCTTTTCTGTGATTATAGATATTTTGGGCAGAAGGAGAAGTTTTTGGCTCTAACCCCAAAATATTTAACATAAGGGATACATAATCCTGGTCAATCTGCTTTAGAAAATGTTGGGTAGTTGGTCCTTCTTTATCTGCCTTTGTTTTCTAAACATTAAACATTTTCTATCATTGACCCATTTTTGTGGGGGGACCCTCATCCCAACATGAAGCCAACTCTAAAAGTGGCCTTTCAAACATATTTTGTAATCCTGCTTTCTTAGAAATATTGCTCACCAACCTCTTAGTATTACCTTCTCTTTATATCCATAAAGTGTAATATTGTGTGAAAAATCTACATACACAAAACATGTCAAATCTTGGCAATTTTTCTTCATCCTGGTAATGTTTGTGGCTCTTGCTGTTTTCGTTTCCAATGCCCCAGTCTGTTCTCTCCCATCAGTGTTGACAAGGGATGTTTCATTTGTAGACAGTTGTTTCTGCGTCTCCATTTTTTGTATTATTTTTTTTCTTTCCTATTTTCTTCTGGTTGGTTGCTTCCTTTCTTTCTCACTCTTGTGCTTTTTTTTTTGTCCTTTTGCTTGTCTGTTTATTTTCACCCTGTTTCTCCTCCTTTTTCTTTCCACTTCCGATATCCTCTTCCCGTCCCTTCTTCCTCTCCCATTTTTGGTCCTATTGAAGTTGAGCCCAATGCCGGGACACCACGCCGTAGACCTCTCTCCTTCTGTCCTTGCTGTGCCCATGAAGGTAACGTAAATTCTTGCATTCCCTCCATCCACGTTCCAAACTGCAGTTTGAATTTATATAGGGACACCAGTCAACATGTGACAGTTTAAGTACTTCACAAACTTCTCCTTTCTTTCCTTCTTACTCAGTGATACCTTCACTATCAAAAGTATTTCAAAATGTCCCTGATAATATTGTAAAATTACAATATTCCTTTTTTAGATGTGAACTGTGAGGGTAACTATAATACTCCAGGCTACTGAAGCTCTTTCTTTGGGGTGGTAATAGTCCAACACAACAAAATTCCTGTTTGACATGCTAGATATCCCAAAGAGGTTCTTGGAAAATAGAGGAGAAACAAAATCCTTATAAAATTAACGGGAAAAAGAAATACTGTAGTTTGGTTTGGTTTGGTTTTTTGCAACTGATTTCCTTGATTTCCCTCAAATTTGAATGGTCAATCTCCTGACTTGTGTGATCTAGTTTGATTTCCTGACGTCCATATCTTGCTAAGCATTTTCTCAACTTTATCTCATGTGGACCCAATATCCATTGTAGAGTTTCCATTTCCCAAGGCATGGGGCAAAGGGGTGGAATGTGACTGTTGTGTGTAACTTATGCTAAACACTGTTTCTGCTTTTCATGGTGGGCTTTCATCCACTATACATGCTTCTTCCCCACCTCCACCTCCTCCTTCTGCTCATTGGCTTTTACAAAATAAGTCAAATAAAAAAGTTTCTCTAGGTCAGTAATAACACATATTTGGCTATTTTGTTTAGGAATTTTTCTTTGATGTATCCTCTCAGTGGAAAGAGTGGGGAGGATTTCCAACGCTTTTCATGGCTCCACCATTCTGGCCATTTGCATGTATAAGCTTTTCTTTCTCTCTCTCCTTTCATCATGGCTATAAGGGCACTTGTGCAGAGATGCTCAGAAAAGCATGCTTGGACTGAGCAATGGACAGGTATTGGCAGTTACAACAGTTACATGAAAACCGTAATGCATTAGGATGAAGGGTTCATATAGTTTCTGTTCTCCTAATTCCATAGATGTTTTAGTGGTTTGGAGGAGGAAAAAGCACAGGACGCCAGGCCACTGGAAGTAAGAATACTACCAAGAACCAGTGGACCATACCTCTTCAGTTCAACGATGAGGTTCAAGCAACAGTGAGATTCCTGAAACAGTGTCTCGTTTCAGGGACTATTGTGTTTTCTCAACAGATGCTAGAAATACGTTTTGTTATATAAACCAGCTGCTGCTAATGTGATCTAATAATATAATCCAACAGTGAAAAACTGTTCCATTCAGATGGAATTATAAAACTGCGCAAAGAATCCAAATTGATTATGACTTCAGCAATTTTACACTGTATTGATGAAATTCTGGGGAAACACTCTTCGGTTAGGATCTACCTTGTTGGTTGATTATTTCACTTCTGCTATTTCTTCTTGGCCTTTTAAATCTAACCGTACACTGTTGAAGGCCCTGCATTTTTAAATATACAAAACACCTTTTGATATAGTTTATTGATGATATTTTAATTTTACTGTCTGTGAATTTTAGAAATGGCAGTTCCAAAACAAGATAAGGCTTATCTTTTGGATATATGAGAGTTTGGGAAACTTTT